GCGCGCTGCCCCCCGAGCCCCCCGAGCCCCCCCGAGCCCCCCGAGCCCCCCCTCACCGGGGTGATGGCGGCGCTGAAGCCGATCTCGCAGTAGCGTTTGTCGTGCTCTGCGGGCACAGGGCAGGGTCAGACCGACACGGGGTGGGGGCACCCCCGCCCCCCCGAGCCCCGAGCCCCCTCACCGTAGTTGTTCTGGCGGTAGGTGTTGGCCATCGACTGGTCCCGGCAGGGCGAGTACCAGACCACGCGCCGCAGCCCCGGGGTCGCCACGAAGCAGGTGCCCGTCGGGGTCCGGAACGCCTCGTCCGGCCCGTCCAGCGCGTTCCAGTGCTGCAGCGGGGCGCAGGCCTGGGCAGGGGGATGGCACAGGGTGGGTGCCCACCCCGCCGTCACCACCCACGGGTGCCCAAACCACCCCCCGCCGGCTGCACCCACCACCAGTTTGCCGTCCCAGCCGGTGACGGACGCGCCCAGCCACTGGTGCGACTTGTAGGTGTGGAATTCCAAGGTGCCCTGGGTCTCGGTCTCGTCCCCTGGGGGAGCGGGAGAGGGGGATTTTGCGGCTCCGGCACACGCCCTGTGCCCGCCCAGCACCGCACGGCACCCACGTACCCGCGGTGTCGATGGGGAGGGGGCGGCAGGGGGTCTCGTCGGGGGGCCAGGAGCAGAGGAAGACGGCGCCGGGCTGAGCCACGCCGGGCTGGGAGGTGTTGGCACGGGGGGCTCCCACGGCCACGCTGGGCCTGGGGGGCAGAGCGGGTGTCATCTGGGGGGGTGGGTGTCATTCCCGTGCCGTGCCCGACCCCCGCCCCACGGTGTGTCCCTACCTGCCCTCTGTCATGAGGAAATCCAGGGCAAAGCCGAAATAGCTGCCGGGGGGTCCCGTGTACTCGGTGGGGGGTTCCTGGAGAAGCCCCAGGGTGGGGGGCAGGCGCAGCCCCCCGAGGAGCAGCAGCACCCGTAGCAGCCTCATGGCCACCCCGAAATGTGGCCACAGCCCCGGCACGTCCCGGGGCGGTCCCGGCTTATCTCGGAGGACGCAGTCGGGGCCGGGGACGGCAGTGATGGGGGGCACAGGAAGGGCCCCCCCCGAACGCGCATCCGCTCCTGCGGGAGCCAGAGGGCTGTGGGGGGGATGTGCTGGGTCGGATGTGGCCGGAGCAGGGTGGGGGGCAGGAGGTGGCAGTGCCACCGGGGGACACTGGCAGGGCTGGAGGGACAGGGGGGCAGCACAGCACCCACCACCAGCCTCCCGCCGGGGCCGAATCCAGCCCGCCCTGGGGTGCCTGTCTCGGGGGGTTATTTCGGGGTGCAGGCAGCCCTGGCCAGCGGAAACGCGGCGGGGAGGGGGGAGGACAGCAGGGCACGGGGCCCCTGCATCGTCCCCGGTGTCCCCTCTGCAGCCGGATGGAGCAGACAGCACTGACCCCACCAGCGCTGGGCATTGCCCGCAAACTGTCTCCCCCCCTTCCCCAGGGTAGGGACACCCCAAAACCCTCCCAAGGGGCTGAGCAGCACAGGGAAATGGCTCTGGGAAGGGGATGGGTGCCAGGTGGGGGCACAGCCCCCACCCAAGAGAACAAGGGGGGTTCCTGACCCCCGTGGAGGAGCCGGTGCCCCTCAGCCAAGCCAGGCCTGGGGGAGCTGTGGGGGCTCAGCTCTGCCTGGACAGTGGCTGAGCCCCTGAACCCACCAGCACGATTAATTTAAACTCAATTAATTAAGGACCCTCAGGGTGCCTCGGGGCTCCTCGGGCTCCTCATGCTCACCCAGAGCCGGTGGCAGGGACAGGCCCCGGAGCACCTCCCTGTGATCCAGCCCCATTTGTGAAACTTCCTTTCCATCTCTGAAGCTGCAGGTGGGAAGCAGGACGGAGGGGTCAGGGGGTCCTGGAGGGCACAGGGAGGCCACCACAGTGCCCAAACAGCACCTTGGCCCCTGAGGGGGAACACAGCCCCAGAGCCCGGACTGCTCCAGCCCTTTGGAGCAGCTGCAGTTGGAAAACAGCTGGAGCAGAGCTCCGAGGGGTGGGAAGGGTTTAGCCGAGCCCGGCTCAGCTCTGTGCCCCGGCAGAGCAGGACACTGGGCTCAGGGGCAGCTGCTCCTCCTCGGGTGGTCTAATCCCCCGCTGGCAGCAGCATCCAAACCCAGCTGGAGCCCACACCAGGCTCCTTCAAGGCCACTGTGATTCCTTCTCCCGTTGAATTACTTATTTCCCTGTTCCTTGCAGCTCTTCTGCACCATCACTCATCAGCCTCCCCGGCCCAGGGCCACCCAGAGGACAGACAGGCAATGGCAGGTGGCACCCTGTGCCCCCACCCTGGCAGTGTTCAGTGGGGTTTGGATTTTTTTCCTTTAACCAAACCAGGACTTTATTTAGGAAAGGAGAGGTGGGTGCTCCTCCTCCTGAGCTCTCACGGCTTCTGACGCTCGCCCAGGTTGGATCAGCAGCACAGCCTGGGCTGGAGAGACCCCGGGGGCAAAACTCCCAAAATCCCATGGCATGACCTGGGCAACCCCAAGTTCCTCGACCACGGTGGGGACAGTCCTGAGGAGCAGCTGAGGGAGCTGGGGGGGCTCAGCCTGGAGAAAAGGAGGCTCAGGGGGGACCTTCTTGCTCTCTGCAACTCCCTGACAGGAAAGGGAGTCGGGCTCTGCTCCCAGGGAACAAGGGACAGGAAGAGAGGAAACGAGCTCAGGCGAGATTTAGGTTGGATATTAGGGAAAATTTCTTCCCCAGAATGTTTGTCCAGCCCTGGCACAGCTGCCCAGAGCAGAGGTGGAGTCCCCATCCCTGGAGGGATTTAAAAGCCCTGTGGATGTGGCACTTGGGGACATGGTCAGTGGTGGCCTTGGCAGTGCTGGGGGATGGTTGGACTCCATGACCTCAGGGGGCTTTTCCAATCTGAACAATTCCATGACTGCAGGACGAGGCTGCAGCCCAGGTCAGGAACTGCTGAAGAGGGAGATGGAAAAAAGGGGACATGAGGGCTGACAGACCCCCAACACCACAAGGAGCTGCTGGAGGAGTGTGGAGAAGCAACACCATCCTCATGGGCAGGAGCTGCTGCCCTCCCCACCTCGGCTTCTGGCCGCTGTCAGATGACACAGGAATGGATATTTTCTCTATCTTACAAGCAAAATATTCCCGTTAAAAGTATGACCCAAGCATCCCCTACCATAATTTAAGGAGAAAGCCACCTGATGCAGCAGCTCCATGCCATCACACGCCACCGCATTTTTTTTCCACAAATCATTGGTTTATTAGAAAGGTTTTTTTTCCCTCATTTTACAGCATATATATATATTTATATATATATCTTATGTGACAAAGTTAAATACAGTCTGTTTATGCTCGTTAAGTAATGACAGGTTAATTATTTTTAGCGCTATCCTGGAAGTCCAAAAACAACCCCGGGATGGGGTCGGGCCCTACAAAGCTCAGCTCTGACAGTAACACTGAATTGTTGGGTATTTACAGGAAATTGAGTCCCTTTTTGTGACCCCTGTGTCACTCTGACCTGCTCCAATTTCTCGTTTACACAGTGAGGAGGCTCAGGGGGGTCTGATCCTTTGACTCCACGCTCCAGGAGGGGACAGGGAAGAGGATGAGGATGGAGAAGGGGACAGGAGTGCCACTGCATCCCCTCGGTGCCTGCTCTGAAATCCCACCCTACAGAGCCTCCCTGAGGTGCCCCAACCACCGTGACACGAGGGGACCTGCACCTGCAGTGTCCATGTCAGCAAACCATCCCCTGGGATGGGACAGGGAAGCTCCCACAGGGAAGAACTGGGAAACCCCTCATGGAATAAGTCAGGCAGCCCCAGCTCAGTGTGACCCTGTGTGTGGGACGGGAACGGTCCCAAGGCTCTCCTGCCCCAGGAGCCTGTGCACATCACTGCTTCAAACAGGGGGAAAGGAAAAGGAAAGAGGGGGAAAAAAAAGGATATCTATACTCTGGGAGACACTCTGAATTCCTGCTGCTCCCCACTGCTCCAGTGCCCATTCCTATGGCAGGGAGGAGAGCAGCACCTGCTGGAGTCACCACTGCCCCCACCCCCTCACTGTGCCCAAGTCTCACCTGTTGTGTTTTTTTTTTTTTCTTCTGCAAAATTTTAAATGAAGATTTTTTTTATTTTTTTTTTTTTTTACATTTTATAGTACATAAAAACTTCAAAAATACATGAGCTTGATAAAATATACATGCTTAGTTCGTTCTGCATCTAGCTGAAACTATAAATTGAACCTTTACAAGTGTCTTGGGTCACCTACAGCAAACATATTTACACAGAAGCCACCAGAACAAGTACCACTAAGAACTGGCTGTAAAAAATATTATTGCGATATACTACAAATGTAACCTTTGATAGGAGCTACAAAAAGCAGCATCTTTGTTTACAGAGTTCAGTGCAATTCTTTACATTAAAAAAAAAAATAATCCTATAAATTAATAAGGAAACAACCATCAGTGTTACAGAGGAAAGAACACGCTTCGCACCCCCGGCCGCGCTCCTCGTCCTCTGTATTGCTTCAATTCCTAACAGGATTTTCCTTCTCTCTCCCATCCCAGTGCCTTTTTCCCAACACCACAGAAGATGGAAGTCAGAGTGATTTCTTTCCCCCCCCCCCCCCCCTTCCAGGAGAAGAGTGGTCAAAGCCCAGACTGGAATTCCCAACCCCAACGAGCAGCTCTCTCCAGTCCGGGATGTGCAGGTGCGGTCCTGGCGCAGGAGAACACGGATGCAGGATGGAGAAGGATGGGAGCTCCGGGCACACACACAGCTCCTTCTCCTCTTTACAGTAAGATCTTACTTCCACCTTTGCTGCTCACAGCAAGAAAAAACCCACATGTGCAGCGAGTAAGGCCTGAAAACTGAGGCCTCCTCGCCGGGATCTGCAGCCGACAGCTCCCGAATGTTCCATCGCCAATTACACACCGGGTTCAATCATGCTGACTATTTTAATTAGATGACCTCATTAAAAGGATTTTGAGAGACCTATTAGTGTGGATGAGACCTCATTTATTATATACAAGGCGGCAGAAGGAAGATGACCAAGTGTAAGAACCCGGGGGGGGAAAAAGAAGCCTTTCCAAGTGTCTCGCTGGTCTGCAGGTGAAATGGTTCTTGGAACGGTGCCGCTGCGTGCACGGAAGTGTGGGAGCGAGACATCCCTGGGAGTGGATATGGAAAACGCTGCCGCCCAGCCCTTGAGCCTCCGGCTTCTTCGGCTGCTCAAGAGTGACAGGAAATGCTCAGGCCTCACCTGCCCGCTGGATCAGCTCCAACCCCTTCCCAAAACTCTGAGGTTCCTTCGTTCTGTCCTTCATGTGCCGTGGCTGGGTGGGTGCTGCAAGTCCTGTCCTGAGAAAATGGGGTGCAGCAGGGGGTGGAGGTGCAAGGCCGTGGCGGCGGCGGCGGCTGCGGGCCTCGGGGCCAGGAGGGTCGGGTAGAGAGCGTGCGGGACCGGGTGGAACGTGAAGGGGCCCGGGTGGATGGCTGAGGCCGGAATGATGTGGATGGGGTGGCTGGCCAGGAAGGTGGCGGGGTGCCCTGGAATAATCGAGTGGGTCAGGTGGGATAAGGAGATGGGCGTCAGGTGGGGCTGGGGGATGTGGTGGACCTGAGCGAGGGGCTGCGGGTGGGGGTGCGGGTGGATGCCGATGGCGGCGGCGGCAGCAGCGGCGTGGTGCTGCAGGATGGCGTGCTGCACCGTGGTGATGGACGTGGCCGAGGCCGCCGCCGGTTGCTGGATGTGGATGGGCTGGAGCGCGGGCGCTGCCGGCGCCAGGGCCGCCGAGGCGGGGAAGGCCTTGACCTGCTTGGCCAGGAGCTGCTGCTGGATGTGCTGCTGGGCCGCCTGCTGCAGCTTGCTGTACTTCTCCATCTCCTCGGGGGTGAAGGTGATGGGCTGGCTCTCCAGCGGGGCCAGAGAGGAATCTTCTCCCCCTTCCCGATCCCCTTCCATGCTCGGCTCGCCGCTCTGAGGCACATAGCCAGGAAAGTGCTCGACGTCTGGAACCAAGGGCATCATACTGGTTTCCACTGGGACCGGCTGGCTGCCCCCATCCATGGGTTCCAGCCCATCACCATCGTTCGGATCCGAGAGGAAGTTGTGTGACATGACCAGATCTCCGGAGCCAAAGCACTCGGGGAGCGACGGCGCTTCCAGGGGAATCGACGGCATCTCCACGGCAGGTTCGTCGCGTTTCGGCTCGTCCAGAGGTTTGTCCTGAATGACCATCACCACATCTTCCAGGAGAGACTGCCCGGCCAGCTGACCCTCCTCCATGCCTTGGGAACCGTCCTCAGCATCCGACAGCTCTTGCTCCTCACCCCTCTCCAAGCCAGACTCCTCGTATCGTTTGGAGTTCGGTTTCCGCACCGTTGGCAGCTTCCCGATTAACGGGAGAACCGGTTTGTTGCCTAAGGAAGGAGGAAGTTTTGGGCCAAAGTAGCCCTGGGGAGGATCTTTGAGCTTTATGCCCACCTTGTTTGCCCCCGCCAGCACCTCATCAGCCACACAGGGCTTCTTCTCAACCTTCCTGGACTGAATCTTTTCCAAAAGCAGCTTTGCAGTGACAGAGTTTCTCTCCTCAGGACTGCAGTCCCCTTCCGAGGCCCGCCCCGTGCCAGAGCTGCTGCTGTTCTGGGAGAGAGAGCCAGATCCTTTCAGATCCTCTCCTTTGCCCTCCTCTTTCTTCAGCAGCGATCCTTCACCTCGGCCTGTCCGGAAATAGTGCGGGGATTGGGAGCGATAGATCTTGGACCTGATGAAGTCCCTCCTGCCAGACCTTCTCTCCTCGGGGCTCTCGTGGCCCCGTGAGCCCTTCCGTGACAGGGACCTCTGCGAGTGGCTCCGGGTGCTGCGGCTCCGGTCCCGGCTGTAGCTGCGGCTCCGCTTCCAGCTCCGACCCGTCACACTCCGGCTCCTCCTCTTGCTCCGACTGCGGCTGCAGCTGCTGCTGCGGGTCCTGCCCCGGCTCCTCGATCTTGACCTGCCCCGAGGGTGGGTTCGGCTCCTGCTCCGGCTCCTGGACCTGCTCCTGCTCGAGCTGTAGTCATCCTCCGACGAGGAGTATTTGCGCCGCTTCGAGCGGTGGTTCGAGCTGTTGTAGTCGGAGTCATCCTCCGAGTCCTGGGAGCGCTTGGAGTGGCAGCGGGAGCGGTCGCTGTAGTCGCTGTAGCTGTCGTCGGAGTAGCTCCTGCGGCGGCTGTACCGGCTGTGCTCCGAGGAGGCGTCGGAGCTGCTGGAGTAGGACCTGTGGGAGGAGTGCCCGCGGCCCGAGCGGGAGCGGCTGCGGGAGTGCTCGCTGCCGGAGTCGTAGTCGTCGCTGTACTGGGACGGGGATTTCTGCCGGCAGTGCTTCCCGTGGGAGCCCTCGTCGCTGTCGTAGTCGCCGCTGCTCTGCCGGCTCCGGCGGCCGGGCCGGCCCTGGGACGCAGCCGGGCAGCGCCTCCTCGCAGCAGGGACCTGCTGCAGCTCAGCCTTGTGTTTCTTGCTGCCGTGCTCTTGGCAGGAGTTACCCCCGTCCTCTTTTTTACCGCTGCTTCCCTCCTCGGCAGACAGGGATTTCCTCTGGGACTCCTGGGAGCACCGCTTTTTCTTCTGGAAGTGGCTGCAGTCTTCTGACAGTTCGGGTTTCAGCACCCGGTCTGACTCCGTCGAAAGGGAGGATTTACCTTTTTTGTGCCTGTGCCTTTTCCGCTTCTTGGGTTTCTCTTCCCCCAGCTCAGCTTTCCGGCCCTTCTCCTCAGCTTCCTCCTTGTGTCTGCGTTTGTGTCTGCTGGACTTTTTGTGCTTCTTTTTCTTTTTGTGTTTATGGGACCTCCCTGATTTACTCTTCCCCGTTATGCTCTTACTGCTGTCCTCCCCCTCCCCCTTACCGACGCTGCCCGGGTCGCACTCCTGCTTGCTCTGGGATTTGTTCTCTGTTTTCACAGCAGAACTGTTGCCTACGCTTTCACCCTCCTTGGCTTTGCTCACCTCACCAGACTCTGTGCTCTGAGTGTTGTCTTTACAAAGTCCCCCCGGATCCTTGGATTTCTCTGCCCCTTTCCCTTTGGCATCTTTGTTGCGGGAGAGCTTGAAGTCGAAGTACAGGGGGTTACAGCTGTAGGACACAGAGGGCTCAGCTTTGGTGAATATGAGCAGCTCTGAAGGCCACTGCAGTGTTGTGCTCTCATCTTTACTCAGAACTGGGAAAAAAGGTCCTGTCGGGTGCTTTGGTCCCTCAGAGCCATCTCTGCAGCCCGAGGCAGGTGGAGCAGCTTCTTTAGCAGTGTCTGGCTCAGGGGGTTTGCTCTCTGGAAGGTGTTTGCTCTCCTCTGTACTTTCATTCTCCTGGACGTCTTTTGGCTCTGTTTTGCCCTGCTGGGATGTGGTTTCAGTAGTACTCTGCTCCTTCTGCTGCGCCGTGCTCTCAGTGGCTTTCTCCGTGTGCTTCCCGGGTTTGGGTTTGGGGGAAGTCCCCTTTTTCACTTCATTTGTGTTTTTTTTGTTCACATTTTCAGCTTCCATTTGTTCGGTTGACTTCATGAAAAGCAGGAATTGAAAATTGGGCTTCACTTTACAGTGGGCTGGGGGGATGTAGTGGTAGTACTCCGGTTCCATGGCCGTTGGTCCATCTTCTCTCCTCATCTTCTTCAGTTTCGATAAGGTGCTGGCCAGGGACCCGCTGTCCTTGTCGTGCTGGTCATCGTCCTCCTTGCCGTCAGAATTGTTGGTGCCTTCTCCCTCCCCAGACTTCTGCAGGCTGCCAGCCTCTGAAGACCCCCTCTCATCCCCTTTTGCCCCATCTGAAGAGCTGGACTCTTCCACATGGTCCTTGAAAACAGAAGCGATGGTCTCCAGCTTGACTGGAGTCTTCTTCGCGAAGGAAAACGACACCCCGATCTTCTGCAGCGGAGTCCCCAGAGAGCTCTTGATGCCAAAGCTGATGGCCTGCGCTGCCTGGGAGGGCGCCTGGCTTGGCATCACACCCTGTCCAGTGTTCAGGAAGCCTCTGTCCATAGTCATCTCTGCAGCCTGGCCAGAACTTGTCTGGACGAAGGAGCCGCTGTTGGCCGCGGAATCGTCGTCGTCTCCACCTTCCTCATCCACGGCCACAGTGGTGGTTCTGAACATGGGCCCACTTCCAGGAGCACTGTGGGAACAGGGGAGAGAGAGAAAACAGCTCACTGGTGTCCATGTACCTCTGGAGTGGGATTCATGCCTCAGCTGAGACAGTCCTACACAGTTCAAGTGCTCTTGTACCCACACACACGCAAAAAATAACATTATACAGTCACTTGGAATTTTTAATAATATTAAATAACTGAAGAAAACATATTGATGGATAAAGCACTTTGGGGATGCTCTGGATCAGTTTAGTGAATTCATTACAACCAAAACTGCAGCATGAGCCTAAATGTTAGCATGAAGCTTCACCATCAGAATCTGCAAAGGATTCTGGAGCAGGAGTGCCAGCACAGCACAGGGCTGCAGCCCCCCTCGTGCTCCAAGGGTGCTCTAAGGGTGCTTGGGACCACCCAAACTCACCACTCAGGCTGCCTCCTCTGCTCAGCCAGCTCGTGCAGGCGCCGAAGGGCCTTCTCCTGCTTCCTCTCATCCTTCCGTGACCTCGAAGAGACATTGCGAGCAAACTCCCTTTGCTTGAGATCTTTCAACCTCTGAGGCAAAAGAAAGGAGGGACAGATCAGATCAAAGATGTTTGTGCTTTCGTCCAAGAGCATCTCGTTGCTGTAGCACTGGAAATTACGGTGTCAAACCCCTCCCCAGGGACATTTATTGAGCCAGGATGGAGCAAGAGCATCTTAGCTCAACAAACCCAACGGAGCACAGCGCCATCCTCCCAGCAGCTAAAGGAAAACACAACCACTGATCACTTTTGGCTAAGACTTCACATCTGTGTACATCCCTTTCCAAACAACGTTACTGGTTATCTTTAGCACGGACAACAAAGCTGACTTCAAAGCAACAAGCAAGTTCTGGAAGGAAAAGGGGGGAAAAAAAAGGAGGATTGTTTATTTGCTGCTCTTGCAGGGTGCTTGACAAACAGTGCATGACACGAGCCTGAGGAGCACGGGCCAAAGGACAGGAGGGATTAGCTGGTGCCAGAGTTACCTAGGAATGACATCTGACAAAAGCAATGTACCAATTACATTGGAGAAGGAGCCAAAAACCCCATGCAAATGATTCTGTAAGCAAATCAAGGATACAACATACACCACAACCAGTTACTTGCTTTCCTGACAGTAGTTCTGAGATGCTCTCTCAAGAAACAAACTACTCTAAATGCAGGAGGGTCTCTTGGGGTTGAGTACTTTGGGGGGCAGAAGCACCGAGTTCCCCAGAAATCTTATCATGAGGGAATAAACACAATGGCAAGGAATTTCAAACACCCTGACATCACTGAGGAAGTCTAAGTAGCCAATTTTAATAGAAAATAAACAGCCAAGACTTCAGAACATTTTGCAAAGTCCTTGTCTCGGAGCACTAGGAGAAGAGGCTGCTGGTTTTCCTTGGAATATACGTGGATATTCACAACACTTTCTTAGGGTGCTCTACAGAAGTTGAAGTAACAGAAAGCAGCAAAGACAGACCTCTACCATCCTGAAGGGACTCACTGTTCTTTTTTAGTGCACAATTCAAAACCCTTTCAAAAGGCTCAATTCCAGAATGCATCCTGTACTCAGCTTTTGAAAGAAGTTTCATGTTTTTCAGGCATTTCATGCAGGGCCTGAGAGACTGATGGGACTCGGAGCAGGAGTCACTTTGGAACAATTCTCGTACAGGATGTACATAGCACTGGTGAATTCTAAATACTTCTGGCTGGCTGACTCTGCCTCTTTCCTGGAGCAGAGTCAGCCTGCCACACACAGGAACAGTGGATCTGGAAACCAACCCAAAGCTCAAATTAGAGGAATTAAGCTGGCCCAATGTAAAGAGAACATTGCTTTGTGAAAAAAGGGAAAACTGGACGAGACAGAGGATTCTCTTACCTAATTGTATTTACTAAATGTGGTTGAGGTGCTACCAAAATCAGAGGGGAAGACACACAAAGAAGATACAGCTACAGACACCAGTAGAAAGAAACTCACTCTTGTGATCTGGGCTCCAAAATTAGAAGGGTTTGCTTTCAATACATCAGCTGAAAACGTCACATCACAAAGAAAAAAAGAAAGTAAAAATATAACAAGAGTGGAAGAGAGGAAAAAGAATAAAAAAATACAAGCAGGCATTACTAGAGAGCTGTGGGTGTGTGGTGCCAGCTACTCTACAGAGCAGGAGAGGAGCCAGCAGAGCTACAGGACCAGGATGGGGGTCTGGAGAGGGGGGACACGGACACGGACACGCACGGACACAGCAATGATCCCACCTGGAACAGCAGAGCTACTTTCACCAGGACAAGTAAAGGGCTCAAGGGTTTTGTGGTGTATGTTAAACGTTGAAGAGTAAATTTTTTTTCCAAGAGGGAGGAAAAAAAAACACAACTAGATGGGACTAAAGCAACGCCATCGGCTTTTTCAGGCTGATTTCGAAAGCGTGTCTGAAATGCTCCGGGAAGTCACAGCCACCAACAGCTGACAAAACTATTTAATGGGGGCTGGTGCCAAGTCTCGAGATCACTCACCCATTTGGAAAAAAGTATGACCCAGCTATTTAGACCAGACATGAACTGTGACCTTTCCCTTTCAAGAGGAAGGTGTGATGGTGCACCCAGAACCCCCTCCAGCCCCTGATCACCTCCAGGGACACAAAGTGGGCTCAGAGTTGTTGGGAATAATGCAGCTGCCCCCGAGCTCTCCTGCCTTCACTACATGGCAATTTGAATGCAAACAGAATTAAATACCCTTTTTTAAATGCTGACCTTTGTGTGTCTTTGCAGCCCCAACCTCCCACTCTCAGCACTTAAAAATTAGAGGTGTGAAGCAAATGAACCACTGTAACCCCACAATATCCACCACAGCAACCTCCAGCTGCACCCAAACCTGTGCCCTTCAGGGTGACAAACCACTGACTGTGGTGTTGAGGCTGCTGAGAATCTGCTGCTCCTCAAACTGGGGAAAAGTTGGTCTGGCTTTACACAGGACTAAGAGATCTCAAGGCTGAGTTTCTTTTTGTCACACAGGAGCCAGAAGGAAGAAGGGTCTTGCTGGGGGAAGTACAGGGTAGAAAAGCTCCACAAATGCACCATGCCAGCTCCTTGGGAATGTAAAATATGGAATGTAACATAGTTCAGCTTATTTGACTGCCCTAAAACAATGCACCCATCATTGGAAATGACTCCTCGAGTTTGCAGGAGACCTGCCTGGACTGCATTATCTTCCATAAATGCACCCTGGGGTAGGGAAAAGGGGGACAACATGAGCCCAGACTGCTCATCCGTAAAAACAACTCAATAATGGAACTCTGAAAATAGCCAGAACTTCTCCTGACTGGGGAAAAGCAATTCCAGGCCTGAAGTACAATTTTCCAGCATGAAGGGAGCACATGGAGCACTGAAATGCTTCTCATACACTCCAGGCCTCAGCCTTCCCAGAAAGTCATCTGAACTAAACGGAGACTTTAGCCAGGCTTACATTAAAGAAATTTCCACCTAATCCCAAGGCAAGGGTTCATTATTCCAATCCTCCAAAACCTCTAAATTCCTTTTTGGATTGCACCATGTGTTTGAGTGTGAGGGAGGCTGGACAGCCACAGAACTGCCCCTTCCCCCAGCACAGCAGAGAAATTTCAACAAGGATTTAACACAGCCACTCCATCATCCTTGGGCAGCTTCTCCCCTCCAAAAGGAGCCCTGGGAAACCACCTTCTTAGGGTGAATCCTGCCTTTTTAAAGTCTTCTCATAGTGCTGAGCAAGACTATGATTTTTTCAACAGGATTAGAGCCACCAACCTGTATTAAATCAAACACAAGCTTCATGCTGCTATAGGATTTCAAAATTAGGAGGCATTTTTTGCTCCACAGGCAGTGTGTTTTCTGAGGAAGCAGTAACGTATTTTCAAGCTGTCAGATGATAACAACAATCAAGCCAAGGAATATTACTCTGCTGGTTTATTGCTTCAGCTGTCAGAAGGGCCACACCAGTGAGTGAGTGACCAGCACATTAGGACACAAATCACCAGCACTTATATGAAGTTTCTCCAGATTTCCACACTCTGGAAGCAGCACTTCACTACCTCCAGCCTTCCTGTGTTTTATTAATAGCTGCCACCCCCCTCAGCTTTGTAACAAAGAAGAGTATTTTAAGTTTTCAGCCTTGTTTCTAACAAAATCATCATCTCTACATTTCCCCAGGAGTGCAAATGGAGCTCCTGAAGAGCAGGTTTGTTATCAAATCTGCAGCTACGTCCGGACTCCAGCACAAAGAGGCCACAGTGATGGATTATCTCCCGATCCCTGCGTGGCTCAGGAGGGGCCAAATTGGCAAAATCCACCATCACCTTACAATTCCCTGCAAATCAGCTTAAACCAGCTGCCCTGCAGCATCTCTGAAAAGCTCCAGAGCCCAGCACAGGCACAGCAAAATGGGGAAATAAGGGGGGGGGGGGTAGGAAAGCCACAGAATCATCACAGAATGTCCTGAGCTGGAAGGGACCCCCAAGGATCATCGAGTCCAACTCCTGGCCCTGCACAGGACACCCCAAAATCATACCCTGTGCCTGAGAGCGTTGTCCCAACAGTCCCTGAAAGGCTTGGGGCCATGAAACCACTCAGCACACCCCAGATTTTGCTGGTGAGGTGGTCTCAGGTGAGACCTCCCCAGTACCCAGCTGGGGTGTGGAGCTTCACAGGTTCAGAACCAGCAGGAAATGGATCTTCTCAGTCGAGGTGACAGAGCCCTGCAGTACCACTGAACTGAGGCCCTCTGGGAGACATTCCTGGGCTAAAACTGCAGAGCAGAAGGAGATCATGTTATTCTCACAATACAAAAGCCCCTTGACAGACCTGAAAATCTGAGACTTTCATGCCAAACCTCAAACTGAGGAGATGGTCAGACCTGATCCATGTACAGAGCTGGAGACAGGACTCCTGTGGCATCAGAGCCAACTCCTCCCCTGCTACTGTTCTCAAGCCTGCAAATCTCCATTAAACAAAATAATAATAATACTACTAGTAGTAATAATAATAGTAATAATAATAACAATAATAACAATAATAGTAATAATAATGTACTTCTCATTCCATGCCAGCAGATGTCTGGCTTTCTGAACTTTTGATGTCTGCTTGATTCTTTGCCACAACAGCTTCTGGGAGTTAATGACACCATCAGCTAAACACAAGCTCCAAGGATGGCAACCTTTATTGTTTTATCCAAGTGAGAACACAAGCCTGGCCTATCTTTGGTATTTGGTCATCAACATTCTTTGCATGCTCATTAATGAAGTGAAAAGGAGCAGAGAGGAAATGGCCTGCAAATGCTGCTTTTATTGCATCTTAATTTCCTCTCTGACACCACATTTTCCACTTAGGAAAAAATATGATAATGTGACAGAGATGGCCCAGTGACCCCAGCTCTGCCCTGTAGGAGGTTGGCAACCCTTGGAATCACACTGGAATCACACTCCAGGCCTGGTATGCTGAGGGCTAGTTTTACTGAACATTCTCCATGTCTAAGTGCTCCTCTCCAAATGTGTCTGTCATCAGCAAATGAGCAGCTGAACAACCAGAACTGAGTTAAGAAAAATATCACAGGATGGTTTGGGTTGGAAGGGACCTTAAAAAACATCCAGTGCCACCCCCTGCCATGGGCAGGGACACCTTCCACCAGCCCAGGTTGCTCCAAGCCCCGTCCAACCTGGCCTTGGACACTTCCAGGGATCCAGGGGCAGCCACAGCTTCTCTGGGCAACCTGTGCCAGGGCCAAACCACCCTCACGGGGAGCAATTTCTTCCTAATATCTGTCTAATCTAAACCTACTCCCTCCCAGCTTAAATCCATTCCCCCTTGGCCTGTCACTCCAGGCCCTTGTCCAAAGTCCCTCTCCAGCTCTTTTGCAGCCCCTTAAAAGTCAATTAGTGGGATTTCTTGAGGATAAAGCATTTCTGAGGTAGAAGAATCTCCCATGTAACACCAAGTACCTCAGAGATTCTCTCCTCAGCCTTCTCCATTTAAGCTGTGCTTGGAGGCCCAAGTTTTTGGAAAGCACAAGTCCAAGTCTCCCCAAACCAGGAGACTCGGGCTCTGGATTTAAGAGTCTTCATCAACCCCAGCAGTGACTGTGTTGGTAATTCTATTGTGCTTTAACAGATCCCTCCCTCTCAGCATTAGAAGCAAAGATGCAGATAATTAGGGCACAAAGAGAACTGCAGATCTGTAGGTTCAGTTCTTAGCTCCACCCTGTTTCCCAAAGAACTTCTTTATGGAAATACATTCCCTTTGTCCTTTAACAGAGAGAACCTATGCAGAATTAATCATCTACACATCCAAAACAACACACATTTCAGGGGGGGAAAAAGCTACATAAAAGCCTTCATTTCAGTCCTGGTTACATTCTCCCAGGGAACCTGGCACAGGTTCACACAGGAACACGTTTGTTTTTCACAGGGGAATGTTTTGATTCTGCTGGGTCAGTGACTCAGTAAACAGCTGAACCCCTCAGCAGGGGCACGAGCAGGAAAGGAGTGCCTGGGTGGGAGATTCTGTAAGTTCTTGGCTTGTTAAAAAACCCTCACAGTAAAGGCTGACTGGAAATGGTTCAGAACTGACACCTCAGGTAATTCCAACTGTAACACCTTCTGCAGGCTGCTCCAAGTGCTGGGCCCTGCACATCCAGGTTTATTGGACAGGAACACACACACTGGGTACAGCCCCAGGTAAGGGCACCCACCCTCATCTTCACACAAACCTCAGGTGGAGTTTCTGTCTTGATGTCAAAACCCCAAATGGAATTAAGGGCCCACTTGGATGTAATGCCCTAGGGGCACATTCCCACCGAGCCCAGAGTGCCCCAGGACTGTGGGAGCTCCCAAGGATCAGGATAGAAAAGCAGTACAAAAATCACAGAATCACAGACTGTTTTGGGTTGGAAAAGACCTCAAAGCCCATCTAGTCCCACCCTCTGCCATGGGCAGGGACACCTTCCATGCCCTCTCCAACCTGGCCTTGGACACTTCCAGGGATATACACTGGGTCCATATTCACCACCCAAGCTCCTCTCTAGCTGCAAAAGTTTTCTTCCAACATTTCCCACCTTTTTTCTGTGCACTTTTATTAATTATTACTCTGTTGACAACTGTGACTGGACACCATCTGAGGCAGGACCCTTCATAACCTACCAGGCCTTTAGATCAAGATCTTACAGCTAAAAAAACCACCATTAAAGACATCAGCAGCTTTCCAGGGTAAAAGAAGTTATGAGATCCATGGTTAAAGACTTTTCCAGTTGCTCACTGAAGGATCTGTGAGGGAACTGAGCTTATTGTCCCTCCTGCAGTGCCATCTGCACCCACTCCAGTTGCTTTTAGTCCTCTGACTTCCCCCAAGAGGGACCAGAGGGTGACCAGAAGGTTACAGGTCTTTAGAACAGCTGCACTTCTCCTCTCAACTATCAACCTAATAAAAAAAAAAGCTAGGGAACAACATTGCACACCTCCAGCAGGATGGATTAAAATACAGCAACTGAAACAGGTTTGTGAGAATAAATGGAAGGTTGTTTTCCCAGGTAAGGAAATTCTGCCTTTTGGATAGAAACTTGGTGTTGAGGTTGATTCAGATGGAACCAAATGCTCTAAAAAAACAGGATAGCCAGGAAATGATAGAATAAACCTCCCCTTTAATTGTTTGGTGTTGGCACAATTTTGGTGGGTCCAAAATTTATCCGGTTGGGATCAATACACTTACCTATCATCCCTGTTTGGCAATAATCTTGAGTTCCTTCCTGGAATACAAGACAGTGTCTTTATAACTGGGGAGCAGAAAGGGATCTGAGGATGGAACATCTATTTACAGGGACAGCCTGTGGCTCGCTGCACCACAGAGGGATAAGCAAACACTTCAACGTCAGGGGATGTGGAACTAAAAATACTTAAAAGCAAAAATGATCCTGGGGAAATCAAGCCAAGAAAAAGGGAAAAACGAGCTCTGTTGCCTCAAAAATTACCACTGAGAAGACAAAATACTGCAGATAACATTATACCAAGCCAGGTTGCTGTAATTATCTAAGATACTGTAGCAGCTCATCTTTCCAGGAAAGCCAACTGAGTGGCCTACTTTGAAGAAAACTTTCTGGTTTTCCTCAAAAACTTTGTGCTCCCCTTTCTGTAACCTTGCCTTCTTGTCCAAAAAGGCAAAATGTGAAACATCAACATGCAACATATAAAAAGTACAGCTTTTTTTTTTTTTTTTTAATTAAACTACCTTAAAATTTAGACTGGACACAGCAGTGAGATGATGTTACTTATGGAAATTCACCCTCATTGTGTCTCTGGAGTTTCAAGTTCACTCCCTGAACACAGACCCAACAGGGTCACACACATTTCAGCCTGACACAAAGCTGGACAAGCAATTTTTTTCCCTAAGCAAAGCATGATTGCTTCTTTGTCTAAATCCCTCTGTAACTGGAAATTAATGCTGGGTGATGCAGCCACAGTTTGGAGGCTCATTTGCTCCAAAGCCTGCCTGAAGTGACTGCAACGGATGGAATTATCCAAGAACATAATTCCTTTCAAAATAATCAGCAACCCCTAAATTCTTCCTGCTGATGAGATGTCCCCACCCTGTGTGTCTACAAGACATTTTTCTCTCAGGTCACTCCTGCTGATCACTCCTTTTATACCAACGAGGGGTGGTTGCTTCCACAGGTTTGTTTCTTCCTTCACAGCATCTCCAGGTGCTAGAACAGCTCTGGGCCTTGCCAGGCTCACCTCAGTCCCCCATTAGTCACCGAGGGTTTGAACAGGAGTTGACATAATTATGCTGCATCAGCACACTGAGAATGTGACACAAACAGGTCCTTCCACCTCCGAAATAAATGCAGGTCGTTGCACTCGAGTTTCAGCCAAGCTGATGGAAACCTTTGGGGTGAAGTTCACAGCTCTCAGGTGTCAGGACTGTGCCAAAACAGCCCTTTGCCCAACACAAAGTGAATGAAGGCATTTCTGCTCTGAATTCCACTAAACCAAACTTGGTCACAGAAAACTGCCCTGCCACGAGAATTCTTGTTAAGACTCCCTTACAGAATCTACTTGGAATACTATCACAGCCTACATTTAATCCACACACAAAAAAAATCATATTCTAATGCCATATTCCTGGTTTTAAGCTGTTCACTGCTATTTTGCAAGCTCTAGTACTCTGCAGCCCATCCTCCACGAGGTATCAGCATTTTAATGATTGTGTTGTTAGAATTTATGACTAGGAACATCAAAACCCTCCTCTGAGCCATTCCAGCTCTGGGTGAGCCCAACACCGCTGTCTGCTGTGCAGTTACATCTCATTTAGCAGCTTAAGTGGTCAAACAGACCAGGCTAACACATGAACTTTTTATTATTTACTGTGCAGTGTGAAATACCCTGTGAACACATCCCTACCTTGGGAACAAAGCCAGCTCCACACAGACACTGAATCCGCCTTCTCCTGAGGGTTACAGGATTTGGGAAGTGCTCCTCTGACACAGCCCATTATTCCCTGGTCTGTTTTCAGTAACTCAACAGAACACAGACTGAAGTACTAAAATACTCACACATGGTGTATCATCACTCCCCAAAGCTGTACTGTGCTAAAAGTGAACTGGGAGCCATCCATATCCACATGTTCTATTCCCAGTTTAACAGCAGCCCATTCCTGCCCCTGGGTCTCTCAGAACTGGGGCTCCTTGATGCCAATCGTGGATTGGGGTTTGGGGTTTCTCTGTTGTTTTGGATTTTTAAATGCATGGTGGGCATAAAAATCTTACCCAGCAACACAAAACACCTATTCCTGGAGCTATAAGGAAAACAGATACACCAGGGAAATTCCAAGTATTAACCACAGACAAGACCACCACGATGAACATCAGACTGGTGAACTGTGCTATCAGCACTTGGTTACCTGTTTGTGAGCGTGGTCATAAGAGTTTATGTGGTTGTCAAACTCCTGATGCTTCTGATACTGCTTGTCACAGAGTTCACAGTAGAAGTTTGCTCTGAGGTCTTCCAAAGCCTTGGCAATGGCCTTTTCTTTATCAACATAATCCTAAAATATTAATAAAAAATGCTTCTGTTAAACATCCTGTAAAACAGACTGGAAGATGAGGAGTTAGTCCTTCAAGGAAAAACAGTGTTTCAGAAAAACTTAAGAGTATATTGATGGTTATATTTATTACAGAATCAATCAGATTGGAAAAGACTTCCCAAGATCATCGAGCCCACCCTGTGCCCCATCCCCACCTTGTCCCCAGCCCAGAGCACTCAGTGCCATGTCCAGTCCTTCCTTGGACATCTCCAGGGATGGGGACTCCACCACTCCCTGGGCAGCCCCTTCCAGTGCCTGACAGACCTTTCCAGGAAGAAATTCCTCCTGATGTCCAACCTGATCCTCCCCTGGCACAGTTTGAGGCCATTCCCTCTCCTCCTGTCCCTTGTTCCCTGGGAGCAGAGCCCGACCCCCCTCCGGCTCCCCCCTCCTGTCAGGGGGTTGCAGAGCCAGAAAGTCCCCCCTGAGCCTCCTTTTCTCCAGGCTGAGCCCCCCCAGCTCCCTCAGCTGCTCCTGCTGCTCCAGCCCCTTCCCCAACTCTGTTCCCTTCCCTGGACACGCTCAACATCTTGTCGTGAGGGGCCCAAAACTGAACCAAGGATTTGAGGTTCTTTTCCAGCTTTCCAGCCACTCTTCCCTCACCCTGGAGCACTCCATGGGGTTGTTGTGACCCAAGAGCAGGACCTGGCACTTGGCCTTGTTGAGCCCAGCTTATCAAGCTGAGCAGTCTTTGCAAATTCACAGGTGTGACTCCAGAACTTTGCAACGCCACCGACTCCATTTCTTACACAGAATATCACCTTGTCAGAGCACAGGTATCACTAAAACAGACTTAAAACAAGGCCTCCAGCGCTGACAGGGGAAGGCAGCTCTGCCTCAGGAGAGCCTGTGGGATTGCCTGTGCTCCAAGGAGAGGTTCAAAGCCTTGAGCTCACCCACAAACGCACCGGCAGCGTGTGAGATGCACAAACACACATCAAACCAAGGAGGATTCCTGCCTTTGGAACAGAACTTCAAATGCTGGTGCTTCCTCCATTTTGAGTGCTAACAGCTGCCTGCTTGATCTTGGTTTGTGTGCCTGAATTCAGGAGGGAGGAATGCAGCTCCAGCTGGGAATCACTGCTCAGACACCGAGGAGCTCAACCCACCCCAGGAGATTCCCTGTCAGTGAAACCTTCCCAGGAGCAACACTGTCCATCAGGCTGAGCCCAGACACAGGGATCACACTGGCACAGGGAGCTGCATTTCATGAACAGGGGGAAGGAGACCACCTTGAAGGCTGCAGACAGGATTTGTTTCCTTATAATTCAGCGTCTTTATAGGTGGAAAACCAAACCTGCAGGCAGAGGTGGTGTCTGGATTGGCAACAGTCACATCCTGCCCTCTTTAGCTACAGGTTTTGGGTGGGCAAAAGCTCTGGGACTCTGGGGCAATCCCAGTCCCTCAGGTGGCTGTAGTGGTTGGAAATGCAGGTGCTGGAAGCAGCCTGTGCTGCTCCCCAGCCCTGTCCCCAGGGCACAGCCCCAGCTCAGACACAGCTGAGCCCCAGACACAGCAGCCTGAGGGCAAAGCAGCCCCTCCCCTGGCCAGGCTGGCTCAATTACAGCCCCACCAGCAGAATTAATAAAACATCACCACTCTGCACAAGCACTGGGGAAGGTTTACTCTGAGGAGGTGCTTCTTACTCAAAACCAGCTGCAAACGCTACATCCCAAAGCCCATTGCAGCAGCACATCCCAAATAGCCACTTCCCACAGGCAATTAAACTGGAATAAAGAGAACTATACAAAAAAAATAGCCTAACATTAGAGAAAAACCACTGAAGGGTTTAAGTGTTTCCATCTTCAATACAAACTTCTCATGGGAAGCTTCCTTGCCCAGCAAGAGGAAGCAGCAAACATTTAAGAGAGATAAACTGTGCAAGATTTTTTTTTTCTTTTTCAGTTCAGATCTTGTTCAAGGCAATATGTTTTATCTCCCAGTTACCACATCAAAACTGCATTAAAAGAACACTACTGAGCATGTTTTATATGATGCAAAATTTATGTAAAAAATTTCAGCACCTGAGGAGGGGGAAAAAAAATATCTGAAAAATTCCTGTGCTAATGTTTGGGGTTGTTTTCAATTTAAAGCACTGTTCACCTCCTAAATAAAAGAGATGTATTGCAACTTCCTGCTTCCATCTATTACCAGATGCCCTCGTTAAGAAGAAAAAAGAGGGAAAAAAAAAAAATCAACAAATCTGGAGGTTTGAGCCTGAAGCAGGTCCCCAGGAAGACAAGAAAGGAAAACAGAGCAGCGTGAGATCCACAGAACACTGAGGTTTAACGTTCCTCTGAATCCCAGAACAAGCTTCCTGCACCATGGGTAGGTTTTTTTGAGCAAGCATCCCGTGGCTGAACAATGAAACTCAGCCATCTGAATGATCAGAATCTATACAAAAGGAGGGAATTAAAGAACATTTATGGTTTGCTTCTTGGCTGCAGAGTTATCCCGAATTCCTTTGAGGCTCCCTGAATGGCTAATCAGGATGCACAGTTACATAATGGCCTCCTGTGGAGCAATGCAAAAATAAGGACTGCAGAGATTTTGCACAGATTAATATCAAAATGCAAGGGGTAAGGATGAAGCACGATAATAAAAACCCACTGAAGCTGGGAGAGGCTGCTGCTGCTGCTCCAGAGCTCCTGGAAAATGCCCGGGCTGGATAAGGGCAGGAAGAGAAAAGAGTCTCAGAGCAACACAAATTCAGCTGCATTTGAAAAGAGAATTGCAAACCCCAAGAACTTCAGAATCCTCAAATAGTTTGGACTGGAATGGACTTTAAAACCAAGGACCTTAAAAGCATCCACTTCCACCCTCTACTATGGGCAGGGACACCTTCCACTGTCCCAGGCTGACCCAAGCCCTGCCCAACTTGGCCTTGAACAATTCCAGGCACAGGGAATTCCCAGCCCTTATGGGCACCCAAAAACCTGCAGTTCACTGACTGAGCAAGTCAAGGGCTCAAAAAAAAAAATGAAGAAATGAGGCTATAAATTTTTGTAGCTGAACAAACTGCCTGCAGAATTAACTGTTCAGCTGGGGAAATGGAATTTTAGATTTGCCAAGGTTTTGTTTAATTTTAATGGAATTGAAACTACTCTTCCATTATTTCTCAAAGAAATAAAATTTATGCAACTCTGACACTCCATTTGGATGTCTCAGGGTCTTCCTCAACCCTGGTACTTCCCCTGTCTCAGGACAACTGAAGGTTTTCCTAAAACCTGATGGGCTGGGAAGAGGACGAGTGGATTAAAGGACCAGCAAAGACCAGGTCCCCACAGAGAACCTGGTTACAGCTAATCCAAGAATGCTGCAGCATGTCACGCTCAACCCCAACACCACAGCTCATTTTTATCAGCTTCTAGCTTACAAAATAACCCCTCAGGTTTTGTAAACCCCATGGAAATACAGAATCATTATTTTTTTTTTTAATGTTGGCAGAGCAATTCTTCCAAAGAACTACAGCCCATTGATTTCTCCAAGCTGGAGCCGTTTCCTATCCTTCCAAATTAAGCAGGATTTATGCAATAATGCACTGTTCACAAGACAACACCTCCTCCCTCCCAGCCCCTCTGCAGGTTTTGCACCAACAACGTGGCAGGTCCACTAGAAAAATCTGGCAGCCCTGGGCACAGGGAAGGAAATGTCCTGCTCACCATAAAACTGTTTTTTTCCAGAACAGCAGCAAAGCACACAGAAAAAAGCCCTGCTGGTGTCCTGGAGCTCTTCAGCAGCTAAACAAACACCAAGGTTAATGCCAGGAAGTGGATAACCAGTTTGTTAAAATACAAATCATCTCAACAATGATAGAACCCCAAAACACTTAATTCCTGCCACCATCACCGCAGCCTAAGGAGAAGAAATCAGAACAAATCTTTTCCCAGCCAGCCCACGGACACTCTGATGTTGATGCCCCCCTTTCTGTACCTTGTATTTCTGCCTCAGCTCCTCGGTGTCTTCCTTCTCCACCTCCAGCACTCGCCTCCGCTCTGTGGCATCCTCGGCGTAGTCAAGCTTTTTTTTTTAAAAAAAAAAAAAAAAAAAAAAGATAAGAGATGCAATTTGTCCCATAAATACTTTGCACTCCCACTGCCAGAATGCACAGCTTAAAACCCATGAGGTTTGAAACAGAACCTCTGCATGTTGTGCTTCGTTTTCTCTGCGTAAAACGGGTCATTAATGCACACGAGGTGGAGGGTCCTGTCCGTGCCAACAGCGACCTCAGCTTTGGGGGGGGGAGAAAATCACAGAGCTCAGGGATTTTGGGGAGCATCCAGACCCCAGAACTCAGGTCCTCGTGGATAAACAGAGAGGAGAAGCGTTTGAGAGGCGGTTTTTTGAGGAGAAGTGTTTTCTTACTGTGTCAATTTAAGAGCAAGTTGTTCTGTTATCTTTGATGCCACTTTGAAATTTTTTCATTTTGCCTTCCCCGGCCGTTCCCAAGAGCCATGCAGGGCTGAGGGGGCGGGTGGAGGTGACCTTACCTCCATCTCCATGCGGCCCATGCCCATGACATCATACTTGACGACGATGGGGATGGGATCCGTCCTCCCTGGAAGAGGAACACACAGAGGGGCATCAGGAGCAGCCCGGCGCCGCAGCTCGTGTACACATTGGGTTTGGGTGGTTAGAGATCTTGCCTTGGAGTGCAGAGACCAGAAAGCTACAGTGAACCAAACACGAGCCATTCTCACAGCTTACAGCCAAACCTGCACCCCCAGCACTCACAAAGGGCTTTTCTCAACAAGGACTGGCCACGTAAAATGTTCTTGTGGTTCACGTTCCCCCGTGTCCCTCACGGCTTCCACATGGGGCCAGACGTGCTCCTCATCTCCCCACAGGAGGGAAGAGGCTGTTAAACACATTTTGCTGCTCTAGCTCATGAATAATCACTTAGGACTTCCCTGTAAAGGGTGTGGAAGCCTCCCTCCCACCAGCTTTTGTCCCTCCCCAGGAGCAAGGAATGCCAAACTTCCTTCAGCCACGGCCAGGTGGGTGCCACCTGCCCCCCAGGAGATGCTCTGGCACTCCTGTGTCACCTGTAAGCTGTGAAAAGGACTAGTTGCGAAGAAAATTGACTTTGAACTAATCAAACTATGCTGGAGATTTTTTTTTTATTTTTCTTAAAAAAAAAAAAAAAAACATATCTTTAATCCACTCATAACCAGCCAAACAAAGCAAAATGGGGCAGACAAGCACTTTACTACCACAGCTTTTTTTTTTATTATTATTATTTTAAATTATTATTATTATGTTTGATTTTTACATCACAACTGGCACTGTTGGTTGTGATGTAACCCACTGAACAAAGTACTTACCTTCTCCGGTGCATACCTTGAGTGAAAAAACAGAATGTTTACTTCCCTTATTATTGCTCTTGTTTGGTGTAAACAACTGTTTTGTTATACACACATACACAGGTATTATACCTTTGGGCTAAAAGATCCACAGGTTTGAATCATGCCAAAAACATTCCATGTGCAAAAGGTCCAAGTCTTTAAAAATGCCTTGGAAAACCTGGATAGGTGGGAACACTTTGCCAGCATCAGCTCTAATTCCTGCCAAAGCCACAGCCCCAGAGGGGCTTTTGACCTTTAAAGTACAGAGGCATGGTTTTTATTCAGAAATAAATCAAATAAATCCCTTTAATTAGTTGCTCTATGGATTTGTTGATACGCCCAGGAATTTGACAGGCAGGTATCCAGCAGGTCCAAAATCAGTGACCACGTTCACCCAAAATACTTTGGATTGAGCCTTGTTTTGGGTATCAAGGTCTGACAGGGTTTCTCTCACGCCCAATGGTATAATACAGTAAGCAGTGACTGCAATTTTTAGCAAAAGGACCAAATCAAAGACAGGTTATAAAAATGACTTCCTAAGTGCAATATCACTTTCATAACGTCTCAGCCAGGGATTTACTGGTAAGTGGTGAACCCAAATGGAATGACTGGCACCAGGTGCCAACAATTTATTATTTAAATTGGTTTTCGAGCTTTTTTTGGTTTGGTTTTTTTTTTGTTGTTGTTTGTTTCTTTGTTTCTCCAGCAATGGACATCTTTGGATGCAGCCTCATTGCCCTGGTAAACCCCTGTACACAAACAATGCATCAGTACTTTTGCCTTCTAAGGCAGTCAAAGTTTTTTGGTGTTTTTTTTGTTTTGTTTTTTTTTTAATTCAAAAATCTATTTGGAAATTGCAGTAGCAAGTGCTAGTGCCCATCGTGTTGGGGGGGGGAGAAAAAAAAAATCAAGTTTGGACAGTATTAGAAATTTATGTTTAAACTGATTTTGGCAGTTCTAACACAAACAGAAACATCCCTTCTTAGCAATACCCTTTAATGAACAAGGATCAGACAAGTGTGCATAAAGAAAGGAAAGGAAAGGAAAATGAAAGACCAAGCAGAAGGATGATGGCTACAACAGAGAAAGTAAGCCTAACATTGGTGCACTGATGACAAAAGGAGTAATTCAGTCTGAAAATAAAAAATTACCACTGCTAAGTTTACCATCACCACAACAAGTCCAGGATCATAACGCTGTAAAAAAGAAACACCATTTGTTAGGCAGAAACCATGAGGGGCAGAAAATAGGCCGTTTGGCAGGGAGGATGGGTTAAAAAAAATTCAGAACAACAGGAGGCTTCTTGCTCACCCCTCCACCCCACGACCGTGCTCTGCCCTGCGGAACCGGGAACTCAGAGCGGCTCCTTTTGGGTGTTTTGGGAGAGGCCGAGCTCCTGGTGACAGCCCCGTCCCAGAGGGGCACGAGGCACATGGAATCAGGCAGTTTAAAAAAGGAAACAAACCGGGATCTTAAGGAATTGTGAACGTTCTGTGCCCAAAGGAGCTCTGGCTGCAGGTGAGAGGAGGAGATTCCATGCGAAAGGTGATGCCTTTGTTTTTAACTGAGTCGTCCTTTCCTTACAAATGAAACACCACGGGGTGACATCCAGGGGACAAGGGCCACGTCCAAACGTGGCACAGCAGCAGTGCCAACCCCACACTGACCCCCTGGACCTGGCACAGCTCTGTGTCCAAGGAAAGCCACGGTGGAGGAGGGACAGGGACACGGGCAGGGCCACCTCTCACCCTGCTGGCTGCCAGAGGGAACAGGGACAGCAGCCAAAGGGGGAAATGGGACTTTTTCCTTTAGCTCTTTAAGTTCTCCTTTGAAAGAACTTCCTCAAGAAAATTTATCCTACTGCTGGGCATGCCAACAGGGTCTTTCTCAGCACGTAAATGTGGCTCTGGGACGTCTGGGGCCTCCCAGGTTTGGGGTTCCTGCTGACATCAACACGCTCTGAAGGGAAAATTAGCTTTCAAGAAAGGCCCAGAATTCCCACATTTCCTGCCACACCACAGGGCTGCAAGCAATGCCACATGGACACCTAATCCCCCATGGGATAAATCCTGCAGAACACACGGTTGTGTCCCAACCCCCTGCACCCCAAAACATTGATCTTCTTTCTGGAGCAGGTCACAAACTCCTTCACAGACTGGTCACTCTGCACAGACCCCAAACCAGAGAGGGTTATTGCATAAAACACTTCCACACACAGGGAAAACCTCTGTGGAAAGGACAGAGCAGGAACCTCCAGAGAGATGAGAAAAACAAACAGCTCACACAAGAGTCACACCTTAGAAAATCCAATCTCAAAGTAAATTAGGTTTATAATGATTCCCTGAATTCAGAAATTAAATGAGACTCCCAAACTGACCAGCTGTGTCTCCTTTTGCTTTCCTCTTCCCCAGGAAAAGGGGAAACCTTCCTCCCAGCTTGTGAAAAATTGCTCAGTCCCAAACAGACCCCAAAACAACCCCCTTCCCAGAGCCCCGCAGGGGCAGGGAGCACCTGCCCAGGCAGGTTTCTCAAAATTCCCACCTTTTTAATTCCACAAAGTGATTGGATATGAGCAAATACTTCACCCTCAGTGCTGTAAATTAATAAACCTTGGGGAAAGAGTTAATCCTAACGCTGCAGGGATGTGGTGTCAGACCCAAGTCCCACTGCACACGGAGGACTGTGGGTTCAGGGCCACGCTCTGGCTCTGGACATGGGCTGGATGCTGCTCTCTGGAATGGGAATGCTGGACCTGCCATCTGAGACCACCCAGAAACACCAGCACTGTCAACACCAGCACACATTTCATCTTGGTTTTAAACAGTCAAAACAGAAAAGAGTTTTCACTGACAATCTGCAGATTCAGGAGAACTCCTCCCTCCAGCAGCAGCATCACGGGGAACAGAATTCTAGAAATGTTTGGGTTGGAAGGGACCTTAAAAGCCACCCAGTCCCACCCCCTGCCATGGGCAGGGACACCTTCCACTAGACAGGTTGTTCCAAGCCCCATCCAGCCTGGCCTTGAACACTTCCAGGGATCCAGGGGCAGCCACAGCTTCTCTGGGCAACCTGTGCCAGGGTCTCACCACTCTCAGAGGGAACAATTTCTTCCCAATATCTAATGTAACTTCATCCTTTTTTTTTTTAGTTTAAAACCTCTACCCTTGTCCAATCACAACAGATAAGTTTCTCTGTAAAACAGACATTCAGAAATAACAGAATGCTCCCACTAAAAAGAAGATGAATCCCCAAAATTGTTCACATAATTCAGTCAAACCTCTTTCAGTGCATCCCTCATGCACAGTGTGGAAGCATCACTGAGATAAGAGACCAGCCTGAATCCTGCCTGCTGTGTCAACATCTTCATAGAAATTCCCCCCAGGTACAAGCTTTGTGGGATTTAATCCTAGAGGACTGATTGATATCACACTCTTCACTGGAGGAGAATTTCACAATCTGAGCATCTCCAGAGGACACAGACAACAGACAGAGGGACGTGGTCTCGTCGGGCACAGAGGATTTCTCCTTGTTCCTTATCTTTATGCTACAATCAAAACCACAACAAGGCACAACCTTCCAGGGGGTTTTAATTGCTCCTGGAAAGGGACTGATACAGTGAAAAGACAGCTTTGTGCAGGTAGCAGGGGGCAGTTTCAGGATCACGTCGCTGGGTTTGCTCTGGTGGGTAAGGGCTGGTTTGTTCAGTCAGCACAAACCCCACTGCAGGCTCTGGAAGGGCAACAGGAACCTGGAGCCACAGATCAACACCAGGAATGGATCCATATATTCAGGGCCCTCACCTTCAGCTACACTGTCTGAGAAGTGTGAGATAGGAACAAGGATTTTCCAAGCTCTCAACACTCCTGGGTCTGTTTTGATGCAGCCGGGGGGAGTTGGGCTCTTCTCACAGGGAACAAGCGACAGGACAAGAGGAAACAGCCCCAAGCTGTGCCAGGGGAGGTTTAGGTTGGCTATCAGGGGAAATTTCTTCACTGAAAGGGTTGTAAAGCATTGGAACAGACTGCTCAGGGCAGTGGTGGAATCATCAACCCTGGACGGATTTAAAAGCTGTGTGGATGTGGCACTTGGGGACATGGGTTAGTGGCAGCCTTGGCAGTGCTGGGTTCCCTGTGGGTCTGTGACAGCCCAAGAGCTGTCACACTGGAAATTCAAACTCCTCATTCAGTGCATCAATAAGAGAGAGGGGAGAAAATCCCCTCAATTTTCACTGGTGCACAAGTCTGGGGTGCTCAGCACTGGCTAAAAATGACACCACGTTATCAAACTCATTCCAACTGCTGCGAGAAGCAAAGAACAAACAAGGGCAACCTTTAATCCTGGTGTCCTTTGGGAATTAGATTTGTGAGCTCATCCTGTTTGTGTCAGATTTCTGGAAGGGGTCAAAACAATCAAGAGATTCAAACAAAGTCTGAAGTGTCCATCATCCTCAGTGACAAACATCGAGTCCCAGAGAGGAGAAAGTGTTTTCCAACAACACAAAAACTGCCCTGTGAATTTAATCCTTACTAAGCAGGGGAGAAAAGAGGAGAGAAAGACAAGTTGTAAACACCCCAATCACATGGAAAACTTCCAATGGGAGCTCCAAACTTCTCAGACACACAAGAGAAGGCACAGAGTGGACTCTGGGACAAAAAACATCCCTAATTCAAATACTGAGCAATGGATTGAAGAACAACACGGAGGATGTTGGAGCAAGAACGCAATTCTGGGATGATTTAGAATAGAAATTAGAGATAAGAGTTGCTGTCTGTGTTATCTCAACAAGTGGAGAGGGCTGAAGGGTCTGGGCTGGTCTGAGGCTGTGCTGCAGGAGTGAGGCAGGTTGTGCATGGCCACAACCACTCACTTCCCCCACTCATCTCTCACAGTTTAATAAAACTGCTTTGCAATTACCCAGCACAAAGGGCCATAAAGGCTCATTCTAAGCCAAGAGAAGGTCGTGTGTCACAATAACACGTGTCACTGAAAGCACAAGGATTTCACTGGCTACACCCACTCAAACCACCCTTAAACTCACCACCTGTAATCAAGGGAAGGCTCTTGCACATTCAAAAGCAGACAAGGGGCAACTGCTTCCCCCAGAGGACACTGAGGCATTAAGCAAACCTCCCTTTAGGTCTGTGGTGCCAGTGGGTTTTGACAGAGCAATGAAGATGGGTGTGATGACAGCAGCTTCCAAAGCCACAGCACCCAGGTTTTTCAAGCTCACTCACAGGAAAATACCACTCTTACAACCACTGCAGTGATTTACGTTGCAAAAACAAGCATGGAAATGTTCACCCATGCCAGATTTGAGGTTCCTGGGAGGACATGTTAAGATACAAGAAGATAAGACTGTGTTCAGAGCTATTCCTTGGGTAGGGCTGCCAAGCCCTTCCACACCTCATGAATAAAGGCACTGTTCGATATTTTTTCTGCCTCTTCTGTATTTTCTTGTATTTATTACAAAGCTCCAGAACCCAGAAAGAAACCTAACACCCCTCAGATGCTCATTGTTCCACGTTCACAGGCCTGACACACACCCACCGTCTGCTCCCCGGGATCAGAGGGTCCAACAAATGGGAAGCACATCAACACCCGAGCCGGGGCCATTTGGCGAGCGGTGACAGCGCCAGGGTCCCAGGCCTTGGAATTCAAACCCCCAGCTCTTTTCTCCAAGCTGCAGCTGCCAAGTGATCACATTTGTGACTGATCTCAGTTGCCTGAGTGGTCAAAGCTCTGTTTATTGCTCCCCACAGGCTGAGGAACCTGGAAGCAGCAAACACAGCATGTGGTGCCCGCAGCCACCTGGCACAGGCTTGGAAAGGGACCTGGAATGTCCTGTCACGGATGAGGATCCCCCAGGGCTGCCAGGGAGCGGATATTTCCTGCCTGAGCCATGGGATCACTGCTTCACCTGCAGCTCTCTGCTCTCTGCAGCTCCCAGCACTTGTCAGACGCTTCTGCTCTTTCACTGCGCTCATCCCTTGGACCAGGAGGGAATGTTTTCCCTTGTCTGAACAGATTTAGTGAAGAATGTGCCAAGGAAGAACTGCACCACAGTGATACTGGAGGGGGGGAGTGCTGACTATATTTATCAGCAGAGAATTTGCAAGTCAGAGCAGAAATTCACTTGTGTGTTGTTTTTGTTTTTTTTTTTTTAACTGAAAATCATGCAACAAAAATACAGTTTGATGGAGGAACTGAATTTTGGCATTTTCTAACAGATTTGATAACCTGTCTTTGCTACCTACCACAAAAGGATAAACTAAACTCAAAACACTTATAACTGCTGTTCCCTGTGTCACTGGTGCAATTCATACAATAGGCTTGGAGCACACCTTGATCAACAGGAACAGCACTGCCCTGATAATCTGTGCAGGGTTACTGCTTTCGGCCTGACTGGAAGGGGACAAGGGTGCAGGAAGGGTTCCCAGCTCCACATGGCTCAGAGAGCTCCCAAGACACAGCCCTGCCCTCTCCTCCCAGCATTACATCAGCAGAGCTGCTCCCCGGGAAGATCCAACCCCTTCCGGAACAGTTATGCTGAAACAATGCCAACATTTCACTAAAAACACAAGCAAACACCAAGGGGGGTATTACTGAACAGGAAAAGGAATCACACAAGGCATTTCTTTAGGACCAAAGGCTGCAGGGAAAGCTGCTGCCACCACAAGGACCTGCCCCTGAAGGGATGTCCCTTCTCCAAACACACCCACCGGCCGCTCCTATTTCCTGAGCACTGCAGACAACCCCAGGCCCAGCACCACCCACCTTCCAACTCAACTCCCACTGAACATTTCCATCACACTCAAGTGCTGAATGAGCTGCCTCAGTCCCTGAGGGACAAACTATCCCAGAGGTTTTAAGGCCCAGTCCCAGTTCTACACTAAACCCCCACGTTACCTGAGTTATTTGATTCACAACAGACACACTGAAGAGCAGCCCAGCCACGACAAAACCTTTTTATCTGCTGCCATTGCAAAATACTAGATTGTGACTCACCTCTCAGAAATACCACAAAAGATCAGGATAATCCCAGTCTTGGGAACACTGTGGGAATGTGAATTAAATCAATGCTTTTAAAGGCATCAAATTAATACAGGACACAGTTTTTGCTAGAGGGAAACTTTAAGTGCTTCCTGTAGAGGTGCTGGAGCTGTTTTTAAAGGGTCAAGGCTGCAGTGAGGCAAGAACATTTCCTTAAGAGAGAACTTTAAAGAGGCAAATCTACAAAAGTGTGTTGAACAATTACAGTTATTAAAACTGGCTTAGGACGAGCTGGACCTGGACTCCAAAGCTGGGCAATCCTTCCTCTGAGTCCCTTCCACATGGCCAGTAAACATCAAACCTTCCCACTGCCCTCTCTGAACTCCCCAAACCCTCCCCAACCCCTGCTATGACCAAGGAAACAGCAGGGGAACCTATTCAGCTTCCCCACATCTAATTAAATGAGATTAAACTACTGGTTTTAGTCTTCCAGACATATCTCTAAAATACTATTGCCTCATATTAAACACACGAGTCCAAAAGAAAAAAAAATCCAGAAGTTTTCAGCACAATTATTTTTTTTTAAACAAGACTTGTCAAAAAAAATTGACGGGGAAAAGCTGAAGAGCTTATAAAAATATTTTCAACTGTGTGATTAAAATTATACCAGTTCTGCATGTCAGTCTCATGGTTTTTCATAATACTCCTTTAACATATTGGGAAATACTCATTCCAAGAGAAATCATTAGAGTATTTGAATTCAGATTTCACTCAGCCCTCTCATTCCCCTTCTGACTTATGTAACTCCTGATTTATTCACAATCCTCAGGCTCATTTAGCACAGGACTTCACACGAAGGTCAGCCAGTGTTTTTAACCACATCTCTTCTAGTTTCATTTTACCAGCAGACCACAAAATTCTAGATTATCAACTCCACGTGTTCCCCCAAAGATAAAACAGGCTACAGTCACCATTTTCTCACTTGTCACAGCACAACCATCACATGTCTCTGTGGAAAAGTGGCTCCCCAAGCCACACTTCCCAAAATAAAAAAGATCCCTGTCAACTGGCAACCCCCTCTTCTGCTTTTTCACATTCAGTGCCTGTTAGCAAGTTGAAGCACCATTTCCAAATATAACACAAGTTGTTTGTGGGGAAAAACAACATGAAAAACATCAGGAGAAGAGATGAGCAGAGGAATGACTCTGCTGAATTCGTTATGAGCATGTCTGAACCCGGATCCAGCACTGCTGTGGTCACAGTTGACAGCACTCCCCTGCCTGATGCTCCACTCAGCACATCTCCAATTAAATAAAAGATGCAGATGTTTCTTTCTTCCCCAAGTGGCTCAGCTCTTCTCCTTAACAAGAGTTACACCACAAGGCAGCTGCTCCAGTGGGTACAGAACGACTCTGCTTCTGGAATTTTGCTGAGAACGAGCCACTTTGTACCACAACAGCACATTTTTACCACCGGCAATTGGCAAGTGGGAATTTTAGACTGTCCCAGATCCCACCCAGAGGCAGCTCAGCACCCTCACCACAGGATTCCATCCACAGTGGGAAGTTAGGATGCAGGAAGCCATCCCAGGGGACAGTCCTGCAGCGGGAAGTTCTTGCTGGACAACACCACAACAGCCTGACTACAGGAAACAAACATTTCTGATGGCAAGTGTAACGTGGGATAACTTTGGGATTCACAGAACCAAAGAGGGAGCCCCAGTTCAGATGAACATCTAGAACCAAAAGTGACGTAACAAAAACCAGAAAATTCATCCACTCCCCTTCTAATTAAAGTGCATGGACAAAAGATGAATGCAATATGAATTGTATTTATGTAATCTCAGAAGTTTTGAGGGTCTGATGCAAGGGCTCCACATCCACAGCTCAGGGCTTCTTGAAGGGCTTCTAATTCTGCTGCACCTCCTCACTACAGGCTATTTCAGATTCTAGGCTCAAGCACAGCATGAACCAAGAAGAATTAACAGCATAAACACTCCTACATCTCTTTAGAAACCTCTTCTGGTCTTTTCTCAGCAAGGCAGTGTGGAAGAGGGGAAGAACTTTTGTTCTGCTCCCCCATTCTCAGCACACATCAAGTGACTTTGCTCTTCGAACTCCAAGAATAAGATTAAAAGTGGATGCAAATGTTTCCTTCCTGACATTTTGTATTTGGATTTTTGGGACAAGTCATGCAAAAAGGTCACTGGATAATGAAATAAACACTCCCAACACGATCCTCACCAGTGCCACAGGCTCTGGCTGCTCAGAACTCAGGGAGAAAAGCTGGAGCAGCAGCACCTCTCCATATCCTCTGCCTGCCCAGGACATGGGCTGGAGAAGCTGGACAGGGCCCTGCTCCCCTTCCAGAAGGTCAAAGGCACGATGAAATTCCTGCCCATGTTCCAAAGCCTACGTTAGGGAGGTTTCAGCACTGAACTGGGTTTAACTGGATGGGTTGTTTTTACTCCTGTGCTCCTGGAGGAGGAGCAGGACAGCCCTGACAGCCCTCCCAGCCCATCCCCACGACTCGGCTGTAGCTCCCAAACAGTTCAAATCACCAGAGCTTCAATAATACTTGAGTAAGAGACGTGGAACAGCTTCAGTGCTGTGAAAGGCACAGTGGGAACATCTAAATGGGGACAAGTATCAAAGTGCAAATTCCTGCTGGGCCCTTGGGACACGGTGACACCACCATGGGCAGCCCTGGTGTGCTTGTTCCTGGGACAAGGTGACACCACTGCCCTCCTGCCCCAACTCCAGACCTCCAGTCCCATCATCTGTGTTCAATCCATCACGTCAGTGCCAGCAGCACCTTGGGAACAGGCCCCTGGGCTGTGCTTTGGGATCCACCTGTGGCTGGGATAAGGCTTTACCTTGGTTCAAGTCTCTGTGTTTCCACACTGGTGACACACGGAGCAACAGGGCACCCAAAAGAGGAAACACACCCAGTCACACCCCGGGAGCCAAAGGCCAAGAGGTGACAGCTACAACCCCACCCTGAGGTTTGGTCCCAGCAGGGACATGACAGGACTGCAGTGCCATGCATTAACCAGAGGAATTCCAAGGGAAACCCTGTTAGAGGAAGCCAGAAGCATTAACCACCAACACAGTCCTGCCTGAGAGGTTACAGAGTCTCAGTCCAGGGGATTAATGTGCATTCCCAGAGTTTGTTACCTCTCCACAGTCCTCCAACTGCACAGACACACCCATCTCTAACGGGCTCACTCAGGGAATTCCAGTTACAAGCCTCCAGGTCTTCAGACCACGGGTATGGGAACATGGGGCAGTTACTCTGAGCTTCAAACACTTCCAGAGGTTTCTACAGAAACGGGATTCAGTGTCACAGGAAGAATTTAGGGTCGAGACAGCAAGAGGACAAGGTGTTCTGGTTCAAACAGCACTACAGTGTCCCAAGGAGATTGGCTAAATCCCTGACAAACATGCTGGGAACAGAAATAAGTGAAACCCGTGACATCCCTGTGGAGAAACCAGGAGTGAGCCTCTCCCATCCATGAGAACCTCTGCCACCACTTCCCATCTCCAGGGGGCCCTTTACTCGCCTTCTAACAGTTTCTGACCCCTGAGAGCACACACAGATCATCAAACTACCTCCAATCTTTAATTCTTTTAATCCCAAAGCATCCAGCCAGCAGAGCATCATCCCAGTTTGGAAGCTGCACCGCTCCCTGTTGGTGTGTAGGAAGTTAATCCTCCTCCCTCCACAGCGACTCTCACACCACACACACGCTCACACCACGTCTCACCTGCACAGCAAGTGAGGCAGCAGCTTCCACTTCCACACTGCTAAATGGGAAACTCAACAGTGCAACTGTTTGGATATATTAACAATGGAAAGACAATCTAATTTAGGAACAAAAAGCAGAGATCATTTCGTTAAAGACCAAGGTGTGGAAGGTTTCAGACACAGGAGACTGGACTTACCCTGCAGTGACTTTCCCAATCCCTGGCCCAGCTTCCACCCATGTTTCTGGAGTAAGCGGTGTCCAATATTATCCTGACAGACAGAACAGAGAAAACAAACCAAAAATATTCCAATAATATATTCTTCGCTTCCCGCTGACATTTAAACATGTGATGAGCAAGAGATCTTTCTACATATATATGCATGCAAAAAAAATGCTACTGAAAAGGCAATAGATGCCCAATAAAAGGGAAAGACAAATGTCAAAAATTGCTGGCTAGAATTTTTCCAGGGGGATGGGTATCAGGGACGGTCACTTTCTGATGGTGTGCTGGGCAACTTCTGTGCATCACGTTTAAAATAAATAAAAAATAATAGTAATAATAAAAAAAAAAAAGCAATGTGGGAGAAAATAAAGTGTACCAATAAAAATTGACAGTAAAAAGCATAAAATCAAGCTATTTATACAATCATATCCATCACCTAGACAGCACCACTTAAGATTTTTTTGGTAAAGAAAATCTACAATGTGTTTAGTCATTTTGTTTGTGTGTCAGGCTTTTATAATACTGAGTAAGTTGTAAGTGCAAGACTGCCCCACCACTAGAAACCAAAACACAATCAGAGCAAAATCCAGGCTAGACTTGATTGGGTTTTTTTTATATATGTGTATATATATATATAAACTAGCATGCAGCCAATATTAAACTGAAAAAACAGTGAGGTTAGTAAAACAAAAAAATAAAATCAATTAAATAAAATGAGCTCAAGCACAGACTGGGTGATGCATTTCACATGTAAACTAACAAAAATACTAAGATGTTAGAATGAAACAGGCCTAGCAATAAGTTAACAGCAAGGAACCATTAGTGCATGTAAGGGAAACAATAAGCATAATGTCTCATCTTCCTAAACAAAAAAGCTATTTTGGAATAAGTGGAAAAGTACTGACGCAGCAATTAAGTGTCAGCTTTTGGAAATCGGGCTGAGCAAGGCTCAGGGTGGAAATGGTTGTGTTTTTCTGCAAGGTTTGTGCCCCCAGACAAAGACCAGAGCACTCAGGGCACCCTCCAACCATCTGAGCTGACAGCTCTGCCCTTGGTGACCAGTTTACCCAGTTAGAAGCAGTGACCAACTGCCAACTCAGCAAAGGAGGACTCTGGGCTGGGACCACGTTCACCTCCTAATCATCAAAAATAAAAATAAAAATAAAATAGGCACTTGGTGGTTATTAATTCTCATAAGGCAAACAACTTGAGATACACAGAAATATCCTGAATTATAACAGGATCCATAACACTGAGGGTACATGGAACCTTAAAAAAGAATTATATATATATATATATGTATGCTGAAGGTTTCTTTAATTAAATAACCAAGTCATCAACAGAAACCAGAGTACCAGTGGTTTTGTCACTCCACAGGGTTTGTAGAACTTTGGTGAATCAGCTTGAAAGGCACAACCTTTCTAAAGATACTGGCTGCATGGATATATTTTTCCTCAAAAAGATGTTATCAAGCACAAATTTTGGAATTTTTCCTGATATGCCAGTAAAGCACTGTCTGTCTGTATTTCTCAAGGAACAAGTGCATGTCTTTCCCATAGTACTGGCTCTCCCCCAGGACATAATTAGGGCCCCGTGGGGAAAAAAAAATTTGAACCAGGAAAAGTAAAGGAATGACTTGGGATAAAAGCAATAAACCAAGATGGATCCCCACCACAAACACCACGGAGAGGACTGGGACTGTCTGTCTGTTGGGAAGAGGAGGAAAACTTACCTGCAGGCACACCTGCCCTGAGCACAGAGTGCCCAGGCCTGGAGCTCCAGGGGCTGGGATAAGGCACTAATTGTCCCACCCTGACAAAGGATCTTTGAATCCCTCTGTGCTGACAAAAATGGCTGCGTTTCCCAAAAAAAAAAAACAAAAAAACCAAACCAACAAAAAACCAAAACAAAGAAAAAAATAAATAAATCCAAAGGACAAGGAGTACTTTGCATCTTGGCCAAGTGGAGATGAGACATTGTGCTGACTGTGTGTGTTATGAATGCACTAAAATAAAGACAGATGAAGCAGAACGCTATTCCAAAAGCAGTGCAAGTGGAGTGAAAGCATTTCCATACGAACCTGGCTTTAAAAACTGGGCTGTCAAAAGAACAGTTAAATGTAACACAAAGTAAGAAACTGTCCAATCACTAATGGTAGTTTTTTTTTTTTTCTTTTGCTTTGTTTTCAATTCACTGCTTGCAAGTAATGTATTTATTAAAGAAGAGTGAAAGCATAAAATAAATTCAACAAGTCAAGACCAGCTGGGAGATTCAAGAGCGGTGTGTTGTGACTGACACAGTGAAGGGGGAAACAAATGTTAAAGGGAAAAAGAAAAATTTAGAAGGGTTATACACATTAGCACCACTTTTACAGAACCACTCAAGAGGATGGTCGCGAGTTGCTTGACATAAATTGGAATTATGCCTGAGCATCGTCCTGTCTCAGTTCCCAGGAAGGGGGTGGTTTTCCCAGCCCAATTTTTTCCATTTGTTTGTTTACACAGTGGAGCTAATTTTAAATCCTGCTGAATTGAAATGGAGCATCTTCTGTTTCACTGAACAGGGAGGAGAACTCCAGTAATTTAATATTAATCTTTGAGCTGGGACCTGGTCATTAGTCTGCTCGTTTCCAGCCACGTTCAGTCTCCTCCCTCCTTTTCCAGTGGCTCTGCCGGCCCTCTGACAGAGGCAGACTGACAGAACTGCTCTTCAGTGCAAATGCTGCTCTAAAAATGAAATGACTGAAGGCCAGGCTTGCTGGGCTCCCATGTGGGGCCAGTCTGCAGAGCCTGGGGAGTAGCCAGGGGTACTGGGACCAAAATTTGATATGGAGCAGCGAATGCTGCAACAGCCAGCAGCTTTTTTCATTTAAATTGCATTTTTAAGTGACAGTTCTGTAAAAGTACAGCCTCTTTCACATAGAAAAGATGGTTTTTTTCACAGAAAACTTCCTGTCCGTGTCAAAGGCTGTCATTCCTTTTGAACAGACTATCCTCAGCTGCAGCAGTTTTCCTCCAGAAGAGCTGCACTGATGCACAGAAATGCCACAGCCGAGGAGGGCTGGCACGAGTCTCCTCACTTTCTTCCTCTGCCATCCTGGAGCTCCCTGTGTTACAGCCACAATAAAATTTACTGAGGCAGCCAAAACAGGTGTCCCAATAGGTGTTTGAGTGAGCAAGGGGGCTCTCCTGTACCACCCAAGGGGGTGGGCACCCAGCCGTGGGGGCTGTGGGTGCTCCATGCAGGGAGAGCAGCTCTGGGTGGAACAACTCACACCCCCCAGCATCATCTCACCCCTCTGGAGCTGATCACCAGTGATCATTTCTATTTACAGAAGGAGAACTTGGCATTAATGACAGAGCTTAACTTTTCCAAAGGGTATAGGAAATGCAAGGTCTTGACTGCACGAAACCCTCGTGGAGCTGAGGAAAAACCTCATCCCAAGTGAGAGGCTCCACCAGCTCCAAACTGGGCTCCTCAATTCCCCATCCTGTGCCCTCACAAGATGCCCTTGGTTGCTTTCCACAGGGATCAGTGATTCCTAAATGGGATATCCCCAGCAGAAATTTCTGACAAAGGTTCTGGCCAACAGGAAAAGAAATTGCTTCAAATTCAAACATCTGGAGGAGAACACAAAGGTTTTGGTGATGCCTGTGGGGTGGTGCTGCGTTATGGATAAACCACAGCACTCGTTTTGCCTGACAGGTTTTCCATGAGATCCCCAGGGATTGTATCCCCACTGCCCATCCTGGCACGGGCAGGAACCATTCGTCTCTTGAGTGGATTGTAAGCTGTGCTCACTGTGTATGGAGGAATCTATAAGCAAGGATCGGATGCTACTGGGTGAACCCATGCAAACAAGAGGTTGAAAAGATTCCCAAAACAAAACCTAGAGCTCACTACAGATGACACAATGAAGACCAGAGAGAAAAGCCAAATAGTAATGCTACACCATTCAGCTTCCAGAAGCACATTATTTATAGCGCTGTCCACATATGGCTGCTGCTAAATGTCAAATCAGCAGCCTCATCAAATGACACTTTGGAACTAGTGGAGTCCACAGATCCGTACAGATTTCCAGTGCGACACAGCCCGGCCCCGGCTCGGCCAGGCTCCAGCAGCCCATGGTGTCAGACACCACCGACTGCAGCCTGGGACGTGGGGAGCTCAGGGACCTCCTCTGTGCCCCAGCAGCATTAGAGAGAGGGGAAAGGACATTTGTTAGTCAGGACAAGGACAAACTAACAAGCTCCAGGGTGAGTGGGGGGTTCCCAGTGTGGCCTCCAACCTGCAGCGGTGCCGGCGTGGGTGGAGCCCTGACACTGCCTGCACGGGGCCGGGGCTGCTCCGGGGGGCTCTAGGGGGGTCTAGTGCTGCCTCCTACTCCATCTGCACTGCTGGGACGAGGCAAACCAGGAATTCACAGCCAAGAGATTCGATAAACAAGCAGAGATAAGGAATTAACGTGAAGAAAATCTGGATTCTGTTCAAGCTGCAATACTTTGTGACTTCCCGTTCGGGTACCTGAACTCAGTGCACTCAAAATACTTCAGAACAAACACATGCAGCTTCTGGGATCTAAAAAAAGGGTGAAGTGCTCTGATTTTTCAAGGACATCAGACAGCAGTGGTTGCACTGACGTGAACAGCCAGTGTAAGTGCAGCATCTTTCAAACCACAACAAGAAAAAAACGTTACTTGTGGGGGGGAAAAAAAATTATCAGTATTTGCAGCTCTGAAGAGTCCATTGATATGAAATATTTTCTTCAATTTAGTAATGGAAAATAGCTGGCACTCGTTCAGGTCCATCCCTAGCTCCTGGCAGCTCTGTTTTCCATAAATGTACTCTGGTCAGAGTCGCATGTTTCAGTCCAGACATCTTTGGCCTAAACTCGCTGTACGCGACAGGATTTCCACAGGAACAAAAACACCAGCAGGCTAATTGAGGACACGTTTCAACATTGTAATGATCTGTAGACTCCCAAAACCTATTTTTCCAGCCACCTTTGAGTTGCATGCTGTAGCAGTACAGTCAGCACCTCTCAACAGATAATGCTGCAGAGATGGATCTCACGTCAGCTGGGAATGTCGCTCGGACACGGCGCGGGAAACCCTCCACCCCAGGATCTCCAAGCACAGCTGCCCGTGGGCTTTGGAGCATTTCCACGTCACTAACATGTGGGAAGCTGCATTTAAGAGAATATATTTAATCCACCCTTCAGTCTGTAGAATAACCTTAACCTTCTAACTGGGGAGTGCTTTGATCTGCCCTGGCTATAAACACAGGACGGTTCACCATCCAAACTGTGTCCACACTGTGAAGCAGAGGCTCACTCATGACTCTGAGCAGATTCCTTGGAAAAGGCCAGTTGGATTGCTAACAGAGAACTGGTAAACGATTATAAACCAATTTGTTAATATTGAAATATTATTGAAATAATATTTAATTGTGTGGTAGTTTCAAAATACAGACTCGCCCTTACTCCTTCTCTCTTGATTTCAGCTCTGGGTGAGCAAACAGCTTAAAATACAAGGAGGAAAAAAAATTATAAAAAAGCAGAATGAACATCCCTTTCCTGGTGAAAAATCTTGCAGAAGTGCCCCACTGAACCCTGTCAAGAAAACTGTTCCTTCTGTTAATGTGTGTAATCTGCCAATTCAAAAAGCACATTGGTCATTAATAGTGTGGAAGGAAAAATCACCTCCACAGGTGCCAGGAAACTTGGACATTCCCCAGATGGAGTTTCTTTTAAGAACCAACAATGTATTCTGCAAAGACCACGTGAGGATGAGCTCCAAAAGTGACCAGGTTGTTCCTGACACTGGGCTTGTCCATGAGGCCAAAAAAACACCCCATGCAGCAACCACAGCTTTGAAATCCTGGGACAAGGACACTGGCACAGCTGCCCAGGGCAGGGGGGAGTCACCATCCCTGGAAGTGTTCAAAAAACGCCTGGATGTGGCATTTGGGGACATGGGTTGGTGGTGGCCTTGGCAGTGCCGGGGGAATGGTTGGACCCAATGATCTTAGAGGGCTTTTCCAATCTTAATGACTCTGTGATTCTCTTATTACAGACAAAAGAAGAGTGAAACAAACTGTATTTTGAAGAAAAATTTGAGGTTTTAACTCCTCCTCCTCCCAAAACAAGACGTTCTCTTGTGCCCTTTATCCAACTGTTTTCAAATATAACCATTAGGCTGAACTGTACCTACCAAAAAGTTGTAAAGATTAACAATGTCCTGACATTTGGATGGTGAGAGAGATATATATGAATAAAATATTACAGCCATAATTTAATTTAATTTTGCTGCTGCAGTTCAACATTAATCAAACTGCACAAAGCATTACTCCTACAGATGATGTGAAGTGCACTGTGAGCCCACATGCCCTCACTGCTGGGCTCAGGGTACCTGCTCGTGGTTTAGGCATCATTCCCTTTGGAACACCAGAGATGTGATCTGTGACCCCTTCTATTCCTCTCTTTGGGAAAACACTTTTGGAAATCAGGTAACCAGTCTAGTCTGCAAGCAGCATTTGAATATTTTGAAATTCTAGTTTCCGACGTGGCCCAGAGTAGGCTACCAGCAAGTACTTCCCATTACATTTACATCAGGAATCCAGCTTGGCATTTTAATTAAAATCACCAGGTAAGATTGAAGCATTCAGGAGAGCTTTGGGTAGGAATTCCCATCTCTGCAGCATTATCTCATGCGTCATCAATTACTGCCATGCCTAAATCTAGCATCATGCCAGCACATTAAGACAGTAGGTACTATATGCAGTGTTCACTGGACCAGAAGAACAGAAATAAGAAGGGGGAAAGGAAACCCTAGAGAAGAAATTAAAAAAGGCAGACCGTGCAATACAAACCAGATCATGGCTGCTTAGCTAATATGGGCCAACTGCTGCGGAAGAAAAACGTCGAACACCCCAAGTTGGGTAAATTTTTTTGGTAAACATCTAAACACGCACACAAACACACACAACACCAACCTACACACCAACGAGAAAGGGAGACTGAGCTTCTGCTAACACTTAGTGCCTCCTGAGCGCTGACTACGGGGGAGAAACTTTCCTAATGTATCGGGGGAAAGAAACACTTGACAAGTTAATTTCTTAACAAAACTCTGGGCTTAATCAGAACGCCACTAAGTGTCCCTGGATTAGTCACTACAAGTTTTCTTGTTTCTGCAAGAAACTGAAACTGAAACTCAGTGTGCCAAACTTGGGTCCATTTTAGGCTGAATGAGCTCAGTTTAGGCTGAACAAGCTACTGTGCCTAAAACCAGCAGAAGGGGCTTTGCAAAGAGCAAAAGAGTCAAAAAGCTCCTTTTTTTTTCAGCTCCAAAAAGCTTAAAAAGGTAAAATAAATAAAACTTAATTCGTCCCCATCTTATGGGGGAAAATATATTCCACACCTAATTAAAGGTAAAGCAACTTTACAGAAAGGCCCAGGGCAGTTTCAGCTCTGTGGGGAAGGACTGCTGGACTAACACTGATCCCTCTCTCCACACTCCAGGTGTCGTTCTAACACTTTTACACACCAGTAGTTTTCCAAAAATATAAACTAAAAAGGAGCAAAATACATTTAACTACACTATCCCATCAGGTTTGCATATGAATTAAACTGATTCTTCAAAGAAAAGTATAAAAACTTAAAATAAATACCTATGAATGAATGCATTATTTTAATTAAGTCCTGAAATATCACGTCGAGCTCAAATTTAAACTCACCTATGGTTTTAGAAAACTACTTCAAGATTAAATCCCAGGCCCACTTAAGCTCAGCATGCAATTTACCACCAAAAATTAACCCTGACTGCCACCAAGGTGCCCACTCCTCTGAGATTTGACTGCATTCACATCAAGTACCATCCGATCACGGCCCAATTCCGGGTGGGATGGGGGTGCTGATAAGTGGGGGGGTCTTACCGATTCGATAGGCTTGTCTAGAGATGCCTGTTCTATCTCCAGGTGCCCCTCTTCATACTGATCAAAGTGATTGCCCTGCAAGAGAAAACAAGGGTCAGCTCCCACAGCACAGCACACACTGCCAACACTTTCGTTTTGGGAGTCAGGTTTGGCTACAGTGACATATTTTATATAATTCTGCTAAAAAATAAACTTGTTAAACCCGAGCTCAACTCAGTGTATCAGCTATAAGGGCAAAAAAAAAAAAACCCTAAAAAATAAGTCAACTTGATGATAATCATAAATTGTATAAGTTGGGAAAACATTTACACTGACAATACTTCTGAGGTTTTTTTTTTCTTAAGAAGGTCTGTGAAAACACTGAGCACAAGCAGCAGTGCCAGCCTGGAAACCACACCAGACAAGAAGCAGCAGGAATTGACCCTCCCACCACTACAAAGGGCTTTTGCAAGGCTTTCCTGGCAGCAGGAAATCCAAACTGCTCCAGGGATACATGTGATTTCACACACCTTAAATCAACTAAAGCTCACAGTGGTACCAAAGGAAGCCTGTCCCTGTGCCCACAGTGCTTGTCCATGGTTTGGAACAGCCCTTCCCACAAATTTAGGTGGCTGCACAGTGATCTGGCAGTGATCTGTCCATGGGAGTGATCCCCCAACACAGTCTTAGTTTTGACCTCAAACAACCTCCTCCCCCACCAGCTGACTACCAACCCCAAATGGCAAAATTGGATCTTCCCACTTTTTTGGCTGGATAATGAGCATACAGGATTCCTGAGCTGGGAAGACAACAGCAGCCCTGTCCTCCAGGATGACTGATGGTGCTGGAACACACCAGGGAAGGGCCATTTCAGGAAAAACAAACATCTCCACTGCAGCTCTGCCATAGCTTTCGAGGTTTCTGAAGCCTCAAATTCCTGAGATTGCAAACATGGTGAACCATTTTTGGCTGTTCAACAGGTCCATGATGTAACAAATCCACATGAGCACAGACCTGGAAAGGGAAAACTCGGACTTCCTAGCTATAAACCCAGAAGGAAAGAGGAGAGATTCCTGCAGCTGGCATGAGCCCAAAAGCCACTGAAGGGGGTTGTTTCAGCAGGCTCGCCTACATTCCCAGGCTCTGCTCAGCATCACAGGAACCCCAGGAGGTGCCAATCCTTGGCTGTCACCCTCCACTCCTCCCCCAGGCCCCCCAGTGCCACTGGAGCCTCCAGCTGCTCTGTGCACTCCAAAACCCTGGCAGGTTTTATTTGCTCCCAGCTCCACAATCACTTGGAGGAGGAACACACACACCACTGCCAAGAGAAACATGTTGTCACCCTCCTCCTTTCTACCAGCACTAACTTTTCCTTCTGCAGGAATTTTAATGGAAGCCGGCACGTCAAAGAGCAAACTGCCGTTAACAGACCGACGGCTGGAATATCACGAGCCTCCCAAAATCCTCTGGAAGGAGCGTTTGCATCCAGCAATGCAAATCTGCAAGAGACCATCCTGACTGAAACCTGGTGCCAAGAGAACATGCTTTGATGCTGGTGCCCCAACTTCCAGCCCATCCATCATCTGGAGTCCCCGGCGGTAATTCACCCCGGCCACGCTCTGCTCCCAGGCGGCATCTTTCCCACGGCCTCTCCAGAGCAAATTTGGGGCTTAATCTGCAGGCAGAAATCCACTCCCAGCTTGCCTTTTTTTTTTGTTCTGGACAGCCTTCAAGGAACAAGCTGAAGGCAAACTTACCATGCACGAGCAGTCGCTGGGCTGCTTTAAAAAGCCAAACCCCCCCGGGGTGTGGATGGACGGACTGTGCGTGGCAGTGCTGAGGAGTCTGGGAGCCCAGCACGGAGCAGACACCACAAAACCTGCCCCAACGGCCCAGGGACACGGCCCAGACTCCCAAAAAACAGCGCCCAAGAGAACAAGAGCAGCCAGGAGTGCACATGCTGCTTACACTGGCAACAACACATAGCTAAACTTCATGTATTTAAAAATTAAACCCATGTAACATTAATTAACACTTGAAACCCTCTCAGCACAAAGCAGACACCTCCTTTCACTCGCTGCCTGCAGGTAGCTCAGAACACGTCACTAAATTACCTGGAACAAGTGAAATATTCCTGCCCACTCCCTGGCTCCTGCAGAGCACTGCCTGCCAAAACACTGAGAGCTGTTTTCACCAAGGCAAGGGTCAACCCCAGTTCGAGAGCAGCAGGTCTGGCTGCTCTGAGCCTTCACTACTCGCTTTCTCAGTGCTTAAACCAACATCTCCTCCCAGAAACTGTGCAAAAGGCTGAGCACTCCCTGTGAGATGAGAGAGCAAATAAACCATTCTCCCCAAGCTCTGGGGATCCCACCACTACCCACTCCATATATTTTGGGGGTTATTTTAGATATTTATATTTTTGGGGAGTTTATTATCTACTTGTTCCTGGTAACAAGCAGGGATGGGTTGTTTGTTTTTACGAAGAGCAGCAACACTAACACCAGAATTTTCCATAGAGGCAGGTGCTGCCTGTCTCCTGGAATTCATGGGCACACAAATGCCAGCAAGCACAGGGGACAGGCCCCATGGGAATGCTGACAACCTGCTCCTGTGCCCGTTCCAGGCTTGGCAATTCCAGGCTTCAGGATAACAAAGTGTCCAAAATGAGCTGAAATCAATAGTCATCGCAGAGACTGCTCTTTATTTATCAGTACTTAAAATAAATTATAAAGGAATTTTTTCTTTCCACCATTAAGTGAGTCATCCTGGAAAAAGGCAAGTGGACAATCCAATGGTCACTGTGGGGTTGGATTTTTGGGGGTGGTGGTGCCCAGTGAGGGAGGAGTGAAAAAAGGGTTCTATGGCCACAACAAACAGCTCGTTAAGGCAACACTGCCACTGTGGGGATCCCAGGCCTTCTGGAGCTGGGACTTGGGGGGCTGGAGGCAGCACAGTCTGTCCCTTTGCCTCCTCATCCCTGGAGCTGGCTAAGGAACAAGTTGGGGGGAATTCCATCTGTTTTCCCTCTTTTGCAATCCTTCAGCCTGGCACA